ACCACAGTTCCTGTACCAGAAATCACAGCTACCAACCAGCCTCTTTGGCTGACCTGCAAGCACTGTTGTGCATGAATGGGCAGCAGCTCAGGGAAATGACCTCATACGATTACGGGAGCCCTAGTCCAATGTTATGCAATTCATAAGGGGAAAAATGAGATCAAAGTAAGATTGAATTCCTTTGGCAACATAAGGGAAGCTCCATAGATACCACTAACATTCCTTGGTCAAAGGAGTTGTTTCTGTGGTGGATATAGTAAGAGCACACAGTATAACTTGGCTAATTATCTCTGCAACTGTTTCATTGTACAAATCCATTTTCACACAGATTGTACACCCATATTTACTAATACAAATGTTTTCAGTCAACTACTTTTAATTAAACAAATCTGGTTTTACAAACTGCCTGGAAATCTACTTAACACTTCCATCCAAAGGAATACAGTACAGTTTCTAGTCTAGTTTCTAATATTCTGAAGATTTCCTTCACATTACACTAAAATGCTTTTGCTAAGTAGTAGCACACCTGGGTTTCCAGGTCACTGAGACAAACACTTCTTCTTACCCCAGGCAAAATCAATACAAAATTAGGCTAAGCAAATGGAAAATGATTATATGAATATAGAAGGAAAGATTAGTGTGTGATATATAACCTGGAAACAAAACCTAGTTTGTGGACTCAAAATAACCAGTTGATCAAAGCCCACAGTGTTTAACACTTAGAATACAAAATTTCTTCTGCCCTGAATAAATTTGCATAATTGACAGAATTTAGATTGGCTCAATTACTTAACAGAAATGTAGATTTCATCACTTAGCTTCATACTGACAGTAACTGATGAAACAAAAATATGTGTTCTAAATTAACTATGTATTAACATTTCCTTTAGACTGACGTTTAATCTCTTCTCCCTCTTTCTGGAACTTTATTTCCATTAGCAAAGAAAATGTTCTTCTTGTAGGTCTATACCAATGTCCTGCTGCAAAAATTATTTCAGTTTAGTTCAAACTCACCAGCATTTTCCTTGGTACATGGCATCAACCATAATTCACTTCCCAATAACTGGTTGAAGGCATATGACACAATATACTTCACTGTAGAAAAAAAGTGGTACCAGTAGTCAGATGAAAATACAGATTACATTTAAAACTAGAATATAAACTGATAGGAAAGGTGTTCACTTGTTCTGTTAAGGCCACTTGGGAATTGGGAGAGATTTTATCTTATTTCTGCAGGTCAGGGGTGAAGAAACATTCTGTCATTTTTCTTTTAACCTCGCAAGTTTTGGTACCTACTTTTTACAGCAGCAATTTTTAAAGCAAGAAAATAAAGAGCAGCACATTTCTAAAAAAAAAAAAAAAAAAAGTAAAAAAAATCCCCACAATTCCTTCAGCTTTGTAAGTTCAACATGAAAACATATGGAAAAGGTTTAATTGCCAAAATAAATGAACAACTGAAATAACTAATGTTTTACTGATATGTGTCACACAATGTGCACAAAACCATTAGCTAGAGTTCGTAAACCATTTTTTGTGTAATTCATGTGCTTTTTGTATTTCACATTTACCCTCCATTGTAATGCATGCAATAAAGCACAAAGTCATTATGTTTTTAGCATCTTCCTTTATTTTTTGTCATGGTTTTGCTACACATGTCAGGTATCAATGCATAGTTGAAAACATCAGTGAATTTGAAATGTACATGAAATACTGGCAAGGAATTGTTGGGCAGTTCATTTGTATCTCCTAGGTGACAGGTTGTGGCAAGATGCTCTGCCTGGAGTGGGTGTAAAACAACTGGAACAATGCCCCATTTTCAAACCTGTCAGTGGTGAATGGAGAAGGGACTGTCCTGCTGCTTCTGGTGTTGAATAGTGCTGACATTAGCGTGACTCATCAATCCAAAAGATGAAGGTCCTGATAGTGAGGTGAAGATGTGGTGCACCTTGTAAAGTACCTGATAAAGGAGCAAACAAGTTATACTACTGATTACTTATCTGAAGATGCTGAGCTGACACAGCAGACCTGGAGACACAACTGACAGTCAATCACTTTATCCTATAAAATCCCAGTCCCATTGTTTAATGGCAGGGTCTTCTAACATGCCCTTTCTGGAGAGTTTGTGGTGTCCCTGGAGTGGGAACACCCCTCAAGGTTACTCCTTAAGGCTGAACAAAAGAGATTTGTCCATGGTTGTTGGTATGGGAAAGTAACATCAATCTCTACTGAATTGCTTTTGCCAGCTTTGATATAATTGCTTCAATATTGCTTCAAACCCAGTGCAGTACCCTGTACTAGTTGTTATAGCTAACCATACCGTGTAGTAAATAATTCCCATTAAGATCTTTCCACCTGGTCATTATCATAATAAGTACCTTATTTTTATATATCTGGTTTGCCATCCTTAATCCTGTGGGACAAAGAGGTATAAAGGTTCAATTACACCTCCCTAATCCTTTAGACATAAACTGTTGACAAAGTCTGGGGGTAGGACTGGGTCTAGCCACACTCAGGCGCCTCTCTGATGTGTTTAGAAAGCACCTCAGGACTCCACCAGAGGCTTCTCTAATGAACTGCGTCTGAAGCTCCCACTCTGCCTGCAACAGAGGATGAAATATAAACACTTACCTTGTCCTTTGTACCCTACCCTGGCTACCCGCAAACTAGAGCATTACATGGAACATGTCAGTTTACCTTGAAAAGCTATCAATGGCCTGAGCTAAAGTTGCCCAAATGTCAGGTTGAGGTATGAGACTGCCAGGTCTATTGCAAGGAGAGAGAACTAAGTCATGCGTTACAAGTGCTTGCTACTTTCCTCAGTACATTCATTCCTAAGTGGAGTTCACCTACTGCTGTCCAGAATTGGAGTAACAACATGACCAGGAAAACAAGCATTTTGAAATACAGCTGAAAATTATTGTAAAAAACTCACACAAAAATTGCCAGAGATGCAGAGAATGAAAATGTGTGATTTGAAGCTGCTGAAGTTTCTGTTAACTGATCCTTAAACATAGCTAGAACAGTACAGTACCAATCTTAAGGACTGTTGGTGGACATACAGTTACCAAAAATGCTACAGCTACATCTAAAAGTGATAAACTGTAATTTTCCACTTTGTTTCTATATACATTTCCCTTTGCAACAAATCTGGATAAAGCACAAAACTATACAAATATTATACCATGAAGCAAGAATACAGAAAATTGTCTACAGGGACTTCAGTGTTCACTCCTTGCACAAAATATATTAATTACTGGCATTTCATAGCCTATAGTGTAAAATACAGGATAGACGTAAATGAATGAGCAATGCTCTTCTAGTGCACCATCATGTCTTTGGAAAAAAAAAAAGACAGTTCCTGCTCTGAGGGCTCTAAAGCAAAACATTTCTGATGATGTTTCTGAAAACTTACATACTATGAGAGACAGAAATCTGCAGCATGAGGATAACCCTTTAAGAAATGTTCTGCTTTTTCAATCTTCTTTCCAAGAAAGAAACCTTTTATTCATGTTATAATGAAGGCTGAACAGGCCCACTGTACTATCAGACCAGTTTGCATGAGTATACATTTCTGACATGAAGAACAAACAGGGCAGAGACTATTCTTTTGGTGCAAAACCACATTTTCAAGGAGTGACACCCTTCCAATAACCAGCATAGTGTACTGCAGAGAGCTTTTAGTACTCCGCAGCCATTGAAGGTCTCTGGTACTCATTAAGCCAGACAGCCCAGTTAATAATTTGTCTGGGGTTTTTTTGTACTTTATACTAATATACATTTACGAACATAAATGCAGTATGAACAGAGCACCTAACCTTTGCACCCTGTGATAACCTAAGTTCAGCCCATACTACCCTATATAAGTTCTTCTATACAAATAATTCCTTTTGACAGCTATTCCTCACAAACTGGAGGAGTTACTGCTCCATCTCTTTAATGGGCAATGGAGTTCAACGAATAAAAAATAAAATATTAGTAATAGACAATCTCAGTTTGTATACTGTGAACTAGACATGAGCCTAGACAGTCTGGTCTAGTTGGACAAGACTAGATAACTTTTTTCCTTTGGGACTTTTTCTGAGAAATTCCTGTAAATGAACACTGAATAGTCCACAGTGCAAATTATTACCTTATAAACCTGCAGCATATCAACAGTTTTCCTTAATGAACTGTTTATGAGGAAATTTCTATTTTTTGTATTAGAATAATAATGATATTGTCTTTTATTTTACAGTTATGAGGATGATATTGCACTTAATGGAGTACAGTATTGATGTCTCTAAGCAAACTCACATTATGAGCAACATTTATTTTCTTGTATCTTCCTGAATCTTCCCTAAAGCTTATGTTTTACTGTAATAAATGTTTGCCTTCACAAGATCCTTAAATTTTTACTAAAATTCCTTAGTTCCAAATTAAATAATATTCATAATTAGTGTATTTTTAAAAAGTAAACATTTTGGCCAACACACCATAATACTATCTCCAAACTGCCTTCTCTTTTCTAACCATGGTGCAAGTCATTATGTGCAAATTTAGTACCACATAACTGCAGGGGAGAAGAATTTACTAGAAACATTGTAGAACAGCAGTGTTCAAAGAGGAGCAGATAGGCAGCTGCACAGTGCGAAACACAGATAGAGTTTCTTTTCAAACAGTTGAATACCAGAGTCCAGCAGGAAAATAAATGAAAAAATCCAAAAGGCTAACTGATGGTTATTTAGAAGTGACATACAGTGCTAAATCCTCAGTAATACTTAGCATTTATATAGCAATTTACATTTTTAAGTTTAAAAATACTATCCCCAGGAAATGTATTCTGTAAAGGCAGGATACAAATCCAAAGTGAATGGTGATCTGGTGAATGGCACCATGACAGTAACATGTAATGTAATTACTGCATGGAGAGACACAGCACTTCATAAATCAGCTAGCTGTGCATGAGCTCTCATGGAAGACCACATACTTTACAAGGGGAATGTACAGATGTAAAATGATGATCATTCATTAGATAGGTTCTGTGACCACAAGGGATTGATACAGGAGCTGTAAGTGCCCCACAACTTGAAAATGTCTAACTTGGAGGTTGTAGGAAACATAAGGAAACCCTTCCAGTGATAGACAAAGCTTGTTTCAACTGCCAATACAAACAGACTTCAGGAGCCATCGCTCTTACACATCAATGCGGATCCCATGTTTTATAGACATTAATTCCCTAGTGCCTGTTAAGTACATAATAAATGAACATAGATGAGGTAAAGACGCTGTGATTGCCACATACAGCCAATACGGCAAGGGAGGAGTTTTTCCAAATGGGCAGATCCAGAGGCCATGACGAATCCCATCACGGACGTGATGAGAAGTCCAGGATATGAACAACATCCAGGGAAGAAAGCACCATGAGTCCTTCAGCCTGAAAAGGTGCATGATAAACTTCAGTGTCAGAGCCACGACGGGGATCACAGTAGAACAGTGAAGCAGTGGCCTCTGTGGCAGAGTCAGAGCAGCCTGCAAAGAGGAAAAATATAGTTGGCAATGGCTACAATGGTGGCAAGAGAAGAAAAGTTTCATGGATGTCTATAGGTGTGGTATCAGGTGACCAAGTGGAAGTTCAAAGAAAACATACTGTTCCTTTCCACTGCAATTAATCAAAGCCAACAATGTGACTATTTCGTACGTGAAAGCTGTGTGCTTGCCTGTCTCTCCACTATGTTATATGAATCATGCACCCCACTAAGCACTATTGACAGGAAGACAAGGAGGGAGAGGGATGAGCTATGCTATGTGTCATATACTCATGTGATATGCAGGAATGTCTATAAACTGCTGCCCTGATTACACGTACTTAATTTCATGACAATTAAAAGGAAAACAACCATACAATACACATGAAATATTTAATATGCTTTTCTTGAAATAAATCATATGCTTTCATGACATTTATTTTCAAAAATACATCCTCTATTTTACCAGTTAGTACCTGCCAAGTTGTTTCAGTTGCACAGCATTTAAAAGAGAACAGTAATTTTCAATACAACAAAAATATGATCCAAGTTACATGTATTTTGATCCCCTTGAGACAGTATTGTCATAGCATCATAGAATGTTGAGGGGTTGGAATGGACCTTACAGATCATCTAGTCTCAAACTCCCCTGCCCTGGGCAGGGACACCTCCCACTAGACCAGATTGCTCAAGGCTTTATCCAACCTGGCATTGAACACTGCCAGGGTTGGGGCATCGTGTATTCTTCATGGACAGGCAAAACAAAGCCAACATCTGAAATACCGGTGACTTCTTTTTTTTGTATCAACAACACGTTTAACATTAACTCAGTTGAAAGCCTGATATTTGGTTTTAATACAGTGAGTGTCTAGCTAGTCAGATTAGATTTAGAAGTGATAATGTCAATTTAATATACATACTTGAGAAGATATTGTAGATGCACTTACTAGCAACAGCTAGAACCATCACCACAAACTCAAACACAGTAAAAATAAATGTGACAGTATTTTTAATTTCTAAGTGACAAATAAGGAGATTCTTGTTTCTGTAAGCATGGGAGAAATGACAGCACGTTACTAAGAGATCTATACAGGTGCTGATACAATATTAATTGGCTCAATTCAGACACTGGTGAATATTGGGAAAGACTGTAACAGGCACCAGAAATAAACTCTTTGTACATTATGGTGTATCTGATCGCTGCGTTGGACACATCCCTCACTACACCTACTGCAGAAAGCAAACAAAGCATCACTAACCTGTTTGTTCTTTGGCTGTGCCAATTGCTGCAGGATTCAACAACAGTACCTGACAGTGTGACTTTGGAAGAGCTTATCAAATTTTCATGCATAATTTAGACATTGCTTGGAACCCTGTCTTCTCTGTAAGGAAACTCTGATGTATCCTTAGCCAAGTAACACAGAGATGGGAAGTTAAGGACTACCTTGGAATATAGCAGCCTATGCTTTAAACCAAAGCCAACACTAAAAGACCTGCAGAAAGTTTTGCTCTGTTAGGTTCCCACCACATGCTTGTCCATGACTCTCTCAGTCAGGTGATGGCATTAAAACACTCACAAACTGCCTACACAGCTTTTAACTCTAATGTTGTGGACCCAACTTCTTTAAGCTGCTGTAAAGATCTTTTCTCAGAAACTTAATTTCTGTTTCACACAAGCAGATTGTTCAAGGATTAAAGCAGAAAAATCTTGTGATGGTGAAACTGTGTATCACCTGCCCTGCAGAGTCTGATTTTTGTTACTGCTAACAAGAGCCTCAGAAGTCCATACTAGCCTAAGTTTGAAAAAACTTGGATCATGCTATGTTTTGGCAGATAGCCTATTGACTGGTTGCTATTTCTGCACTTCGAAAAAATCAGTAGCAAAGTCTAAATTAGTCTTTTCCCTCTGCCCTATTAAGGTTAGGTGCCAACAGCAATACAGTGAGTAAAAATTTTAATGTCACTTATGTATATGGTTTATCAGAGTTGGTGCCAACCTTCATCCAGTTCAGGGAAGGTGATGCTTAAATTTTTCTCATACAAATTTCGGTGTCAGAGTTGTTCACACAGCAAACCTGCATGTTCAGTTTTAACAAGTGAAAATCATTTTTTGTAACTGTGGTGCAGCAATTAGGCTTCTGAAATGCCCAAGTTCTGAGAGAAGCATAGTCTGTTTCCTCTTTTACAGTCTGTGACTAAAGGAACACTTAAATCCTTGAGTTGCCAAGCCCAAGAGACAAACGTAGTTCTGTTTGGCAATATAAGCTGTCATACTGTCTTTCTCCTAACAGGCAAATTTGTTTGCCTTTAGAGCCAGATCTTAACCTCCCCCGTGGCCCCAGCTAGTACAAGACTATTCTGCCTTAAACCTCTTGGAAAAAGTTGCAAACAGAATTTATTCTCAAATGACCTTTTCCACTTGCCTACATGTTCAGCTGGGTGCAAGATCATCCTGAAGTTCCTGCTTCTCCAGCCCCTCTCATGCAGTACAATGAGCAGCCGGAGACAGAAGATAATTATCGCACGCAGGAGAACCCACACAAACTCTGTGCTTTAATGCTCATGGTGACACCCCAGAGGTTTTGTAACTCCACAGGCTCCCCCACTCATACTCTGTGAAGCTTCACAAGCCTCAAGTCCTTAACTTTGAGGCTGCTCTACAAATTCAATATTGCATTATTTCTGTTTGTGCATAGCTTATTCTCCAGTTCCAGGAACGCTCCTGTGCAGCCCAGGTCAGTCAACAGTGGCTCATTAACCAGCTGAGTTATGTGTGTTTGCTGGTACAATCCTGTTTGCCACCAGCTGCATCTTCTGTGCTTTTAGAAGTCAGTGACCCTTTAGTAGCAAGACAGCAATTTCTGCATGTCTGTTTTGCAACATGAGTGTCTGGGCTGCAGTCCTGGGGGACACCGGGAGCAGCCCATCATGCTGGATCAGCCATCCTGACTATGACAGCTGACTGCAGTAACTTCCAGCTTTAGAGCTACTCAATGAGACAGATTCCTCACACACTGATTCTTAAATTCTTCTCCACTTCTGTGCACAGTAAAAACTACATGGAATACAAAGAACTACAAAGTCTGAATAGCGAGGTCTTTGTAGACTTCCTACTTATTGCAAAAATAATGTGGGCAAAAGGGCAGATCACATGCTATTTGGTACACAAGTATTTATCAGAGCAAACATGTAAATACCACAGGTGACTATTTACACTGAATACTCCAGAGAAATAATGATGACCATGAAAAACAGACCAACAACCAAATAATCCAAGCAGTGAGCTGCGTCAGCA